TCTGAAGTATAATTTTTTATTGTTTTTATATTTTTCAATATATTTATTTTGTTTGTGTTCAAAATAAAAAAAATTTTTAACGATACAATAGTCTTCGTTAGGCTTAACATCAACGAAAATTCAATGCGAAGCGACATGCAATGGAGAAAAATTTCAACATCGGATAAATTAATATATTTTTTCGTACATAATTGGTTATCCGAAAAATAAGTTATCCAAACAACCCCAGTCCCCAATTGATTCGGATAATCGACGCTCTACTGTATTACTACTACTATTAATAATAGTCATAGTAATACAATACGATATAATTCGGTGATTGTTTGGTTTTAATATATAACTGTCAGGTTTGGACATTCATTTGATATATAAAAGTATTTTTGTAGAGATGATAAAATAGAATTTATTATTAATAAATTTTTTTCTTTTAAATTTTGTGAATATTTAAATGTTACAAACATTTTTAAATTATAAGCTCATTCTATGCAATTCAAATTTTTAATTACACAAAATTAATTTTTTCAGTATGCCATCTTATTTAGCATTGTTATAAACATTTTTATAAAGTATATATTGCATTCAATTGATTTACAAAGTGAAAATCCTTGGGAGAATAAAGCAGTTTATTTATTATATTGTGAATTATTAATGGGTGAGTTTTCTTACATTTTATATTATGCTTTAGAATTTATATTTATTATGTATGAATTATTTATTATTAATTCTTAACAAATAATGATAGTATTTAGTCTAATTAATCTAGAAATTACCACTTTTTATATCATTTATTTGAATATAATTTTTCTTTTTGAATATATACACATAAAAAGGTTTAAGAATTAATAAAACTTCTTAATTTAAATGTTTATTATTCATTCTGATCATTAAAAATTTTTTCAAATAAAACTAGATATATTATACTTTAGATACCAATTATTTTATATTAAATAATCATGTTTACATTAGCTGGACAGATTGAGTATTTTTTTCATAAACCATGTATAAATTATCTTTTAATATACACAGTAGAAATTCAACTCTTTAATCAGTCTGAAAATGATACAGTGCAGATGATACTGTGTTAAGATTGATTAAAAACCTACAGACATTAATGAACACATTATTGCATAAATTCAACATTTACAATGATTCATGTGCAGGTAATATTTACTTTATAAACATATGTTTTATACAGAGGATTTGCAAAAGCTACACATATTCTGGGAAGTTGTCACAAAGACATAAAGGTTTTACAAAGACAGGTTTTGTAAGGTTTTGTAAAATCTTACAAAAAATCCTTACGGATTGAATTTTGTCAAAACCTGTAAACATGAGGTAATGCTTTCCAAGTCTGATCCTGAAAGATATTTCTGCCAACTTGTTTATGCCTTGTTAGCCCTGTGGGAATTGTGAAGTCAACCACCTTCGAATACTCATAAAGCCTCAGAAGCCAATTTTTGTTCCAAAATTGTGAAATTATTGGCATCACGTCAGAAACTACAATATCATCTCTTATTTCTGCATTTTGTCTTCTTTCTAACAATGAAAAATACTTATGGATTGATAAAAATGTGTATTTTTATGCTTATTTTATTGTAATTTGATCCAATAAAGCAATAAAATAAAAATATAAAATTTTACTTTGCTATAAAATATCTCGTGCCACAGATTGACATCAGATTTATTTATAGTTGGAGAAGACTAGGCTGTTTTTCAAGATTTGAATAGTAAAACTTTATTACAGTCAAACCTTGGGTTATGAATGTCCCTGTTTATGAACAAAATTTTGAATACCATATTTGTTCTGATTGTCATACAATAATTTGGTTTCCAAACAAGCTGCTCAGCAGAGCCGGCCACTGATGATCAACCTCCTATACTTCCTACATTAACCTATCCGAAGTTGAAATTTTTATCTGTTTCCTGTGATGCCATGTTTAATTTTTGTCAATGTTAAGCCTAAAAAATTTTTTAAAAAATAATAGTGTTTATTGTGTCATTAAAAATTATTTTTTATGTTGCACAAACAAAATATTATATTGAAAAATATAGAAACAAAAAAAATTATATTTTAAAAGTTTGTTTTAATATAAAAATTGTGACACATAGCGACATCTAGTAACCAAAACATTTTGATGTAGACATGAAAATATTTGGGATTGTCCATGCAGGTCAATGAGGTCCACACAAATATTTTCGGGAACAATGCAGGACAGGTTAAAGAAAGTAGATGGTCTGACCAATCAACAACTATCAATTCAGTAGTGGTGTTGAGATTTGTTTTGCATCATTAGATGTTGCAACATGAACCATTGATGATGTTATTCAAATTAGATTTCACTGCGCATGAGGGTAATATACTACTACTGGTTTTTGGTATGCATCACAATCAAAAGTTAGGAACATAGAAATTTTTTTCAGATATATAACAAAATTTTGAATATAAAAAATGGTCAAAAATATGCACTGTGGCATCTCAGGTGTCATACAATCCTAGAAGATTAAGCATATAAATTACTATTGACAGAATTCAACATGATACACAAGATGCTATCACAAAAAAAGAATTATTTTAACAGAAAAAAAATATATTTCTTGAGACTATACATACAATATGAGTCAATTTCTTTCGGTCCCTTCACACACTGTTGTGGTAATAACAATTCCATGGCAGAGTCGACCTTTTATTGTAGGCTACTCATTCGCCATACAATACAAAAAAGTTAAAATAGTCCTCTAGTGGTGGCACAAAGATTATTAATTTTATCTTTGTGCCACTGCTAGAGGACTATTTTAACTTATTTGCATTGTATGGCGGACAAGTAGCCTACAATAAAAGGTCAACTTATTACCTCAACAGAGTGTGAAGGGACCGAAAGAAATTGACTCATATTGTATGTATAGTCTCGAGAAATATATTTTTTTTCTGTTGAAGTAAAATTGTCCCAACAATTTTTTAAAATGAATTATTTTTATTGATTTATTTTGTTACTGCATATTACAAAAAATAATAATAAATTTTATTTTATAACCACAAAAATATCTGTAACAAAATGAATGAAGAAAAATGACTAATTTGTAATTCCATAGTTGAATTGTGAGTGGATTAATGAAATCCAAACAGAAGATGGTATTATGAGAGGAATAACAGTAAAACTTTATCAATCTCTACATGAGAGTTTTTAACAATAGTGCAGGAATAACATATAGAAAATCAATATCTGCTTAAGTCTTTCCCATTAGAATAGATACATAAATCATTATATTCACAACGGCTACATTAATGTAATGATTTATGTTTTATATATTTCTGTTTCATGTATACTATTTATGTATGGTGGAATCCTGTTTATCAAATGGTACCAGGTCCAATCCAGATGACCGAAAATCTGAAAAATTTATTAACGACATAAATAACACAATTTAGATATACATTATATTTTATTTACTGTACATTATATATACTTTACTTTTACAACAATATTAACAGTATAAAGCAAAAGATATGTCTACATACAGTATTAGTTCATTGTTTTCTATCAGCTGATACAGTAATCATATGTAAATTTTCTGACCATTTGTATGAGGTAGAACTCCTCCTTATGACTTTCATATAATAGCTTTCATACTTTTATCAAAACTCATGTGTAGGTCAGTAAAATTATATCATTGTCTTTTAGATCAGGGGTGGCCAACTTTTGTGTACATAAGATCTACTTTTTATCTTAAAAATGTGTTGCAATTGACTTGTTGTTGTAGGCATAGTCTAAGTGGCAAGGGGGAGGTGTGAAATACATACTATGTTTAGATAGGTAAGAAAAGCCACAATTTAATTTAAGACATGAAGAAAAGGTACATGCATTTTAAACAGAAAAAAATTGAAACTCAACATTGTCACTTTTAGGGACCAACACTTCATCTTTCCTCTCTCTACCATGTCCCAACCTACTCTCTGTTCCTCTTCCTGCCTTTCTTTTTTTGGTTTTACAACCCTTTGTCTACATTTCTTATTCCCCCTTTACAACTATATGCAAATGGATTACACATGGACCAACAAAACCGCATCTGAGGGAGGACACGTAGGTCCGATATCACTACACTTGCATTTGCGCATTGCGTTCGGTTACAAGTGTAACACATTAAGTCAAGACATCACAAGTGATTGACCAAAATTGGTTTCACAATTGACTTGTTAGTCACTCCTGTTTTAGACCATTGCTTTAGTAATGACATTTATATAATAAAATAACTTTAACTTTAATGAGTAATTATTTATTGTGACGTTGTCATAATGCTGGACTGCAAATTTTAATCATATTTTTAATTTATTTAATTTAAAATATATGCTCTCTACATCAAATTGATAGTGGTTTGTCCCTGTACATCATACTTTTCCTTTAACAATAGAGTCTTGCTGGTCATCTATCTAACACCTTTCAGGGGAAAATATTTGAATTGAAATAACATGACTTCTAGTTTGCATGGAAAGTTCTTATATACTTAATCGGGACTTTCTGCCCCTAAGGTTTCCATATCTGGTCTCATCTTTCATCTATCTAACTCCGTTCTCAAGATTAAGGAAAATTGGATGGGTGGATGACAGTGGGAATTTATAGGTCTACAATTTTTTCAAATTGCAGCCCAATTAACATTAATTCAGTTAATATTATTTTGTGAACTTAATTCTTATTCTTATCATCATCTGAAGTTTGTTATTAAACTGTAATGAAAAAAACTCATATTTAATCATTATATTAAGTTTTCAATAAGTAAAAGTAATACTGATAACATCTGAGAGATTTTTTATAAAGCAGATTAATTAAAATTTAATTTTAATATATTGTTTTTTTAAGTTTTATAAACTACAGTTATTTCATTGTAGGTTCTGTGAAGGTTATACTGTACATTATATTTATGGTTATTATGATAAAAATACACACGTTCCCACTATTTGCTATTAGACCTATGTATCTTAGTATGAGGTAAGTACAATATTTATTTCTAGTGATGTATCTAGGAGCTAATTCTCAAATTAGGAAATTAAAATTTTTCATTATTCAATGTGATTTTATTCTAAAAAAATGCACTACAGATTCTATTTTATTACTTTATGTTCCTTTACTACAGTTTTCATCTAATGATATATTTAACTAAATATTAGAATTAACTACAGCATAAAACTTGTTAAGAATGTATTGCTGTTATTTGATGCAACCCCAGTCTGTTTTGGGCATATGCTTATATCTTACTGCACTATTTGACTAACTCGTGTAAGTGATCCATTTGGTTTGATACAATGATTATATGTGGAAATGTTAAAAAGATTTTCTTTATATGAATTATTAAAGAAATAAAATAGAAAACTAAAAATTGTTTTAGACTTTCTTCTCAAAGATCTTTAAATTTCAATAAATGTTTTGAAGGAAGTAAGAAAAGGTCAAAGACCTATAGGATCTTACAATTTAATAGCAAAATATAAATTATATAATTCTGATAACAATGATATGGTTTAATCAAAGTTTACATATAGTTTAAGTTAAAAGATTATATTTTAAAAAAGGTAAAAGTTAAAAACCTTAAAAACTTCTTAAAAAACAACCACAAGAAAATATCCTTCTTTACAGATTTTCAAGGAAACTTAATGAAAAACTATAGACTATAACTTTCTTCTAAAAGGAACAAGCTTTATTTAATATTACCTCCAAATGCATTTTGCCCTGGCTATAACAGGGTCTCTTCAGTGGATATAACATCACAATCCATAGCAATTTTTTCTTCACAAACATCATGATTTCAACAACAAACTATCTTGCGTGAAGATATATTTATACCTCTAACTACATTATTCCAGCATGCAAATACACTCGTGCGGTATTTAAATTAATGACATTATTCTGCATAACAATTGCATAATGTTCTTTAATTATTCTTTTTCTGATATTCTTTTCCTTATACACAATTTTTATGTTATTTAATGTCAAATAATTTTATATATATGGAAAAGATAATAAAAACAGAAATAAAACAGTATTTATCTTTTCCATAGAAGAAAGTTATAGTTTTTAATTAAGTCTCCTTGAAAATTGGTAAAGAAGGATATTTTCTTGTGGTTGTTATTTTAGAAATTTTTAAGGTTTTTTTTACCTTTTTTAAAATATAACCTTTTAACTTATAAAATATACCAATTCCATTGTTTAAATTTTTACAAATATTTTTATTTAAATATAGTACTTTAAACAATTATGTGAAATTCAGAGTGAAATTTATTTCATTTATTGCATTATATAAGATACAGAACAATTCTGCAAAATGTTTCAATAACATAACATTCTAATATTCAATATTCAGTGTACAACAATATTTATCATGTAACCAAAATGGAATTAGTTTCATATAATAGACTTAATGCATTAAATTTAATTTTTCAGGGCTTTCAAAAAAGCAGTAAATGATGTAATTTTATCAAGACGTGCTATAAGAAACATGAATACACTGTAAGTTAACCAATAATTAATGAGTAAATTTAGAAAAAATAAACATTTTACTAAAATAATTCATTATAGTTATCCAGATGCTACTCCTGAAGAGCTAGCAACTGTTGACAATGTGTGCATCATTTGTCGTGAAGAGATGACAGGAGGTGGAAGTAGCAAAAAACTACCTTGTAATCACATATTTCATGCTACTTGTTTACGTTCTTGGTTTCAACGACAGCAAACGTGTCCAACTTGTCGTATGGATGTGCTTAGAGTAGCTACACCAACCAGTACAAATGTTCCCAATGCAAATGTGCCACCAGCTCCACAAGAGCAGCCTCAACCACAGCCCCCGCAACCACCACCATTTATGAACTGTAAGTGATAGCAATTAAAACTATTTAATACAAGTAGATTGATCATATAGTAATGATTGATTTGATCATATATTACTGATTTAATCATAACTTGTAAAATCTAATGAATCATTAATATCATATTATAATTCTGTAACTCTGATAAATTTATCTTTTCTGTTATATTTATCTTATATTTTAGTTTTTGCTTTTTTATATAATTATATATTTTAAAGAGGTACAAAATATGGATAGAAAGATGGAAAAATAAATGTAAACAGGAAAACAGAACTGATTTTTAAAATTATATATTTAATACAGGGTTCCTACGCATCCGGAAAGTCAGGGATTTTCATTAGTGTTCGGAAAAAGTCAGGGAAAGTCAGGGAATTTGTCAAAAATTGTCAAAAAGTTAGGGAATTTGTCTCCTTAATTGCATTGTTGATCTTGTTTGCTGAATATGGATGACCAATCATAGCCATCTGCAGGCAGCAAGAAGTAATGCTGCAATCTTTAATAATTAATAAGAAAATACACCAGAATCCATTTTAAAATGGCTTTTTTCACTGTTCTGAAGCCATATAATTTTACAGTTGTGGATTAACAACAGGATAAACTTTTATGTAATAGTGTTTAATTTTTAATTTTAATAATTTGGCGATTATAAAAAGATGAGATTGCTTATTAGAGTAAAAAATAACTAATTAAAAATTTGCAAACTTTTAAAAGTTGAAATCATAATTTATTAGAATGTTCACTTCAAAATAGCTACATAGATCAGTAAAAATATGTAATTTAATCGTTTTTCACATTTAAAACATTACTACACAACATAAAAAATTATAAATAGTTACTTGACATTTACAGTAAAATACTGGCACTGACTTGTTGTTGGCACAAGCTTTTTATATTTGTTGTTACGATTTTCCTTGAATGTACTGTACTGCAAGCATATTTTCCCTCTCTCTTCCGTTTTTTTCCGCAACTTCGATACATAGTTTAATAATTAGTTAACTGAAATGACATTGGGTAACAAATATCACTGATTTTGGCAAATTTAGGGCTTAAAAACTGGCAAGATTGATCATGCTTGTAATAAATATTCTGTAGTTATATTTTCGAAAATCAACAGGTAATCCGATAGTTTAACCAATGTTAACTTGCTTATAATTAAAATTTAAAAATTAAAAAGCTGTAAATTTAAAAAAAAATAATTACATTACTAAAAAATTAAAATAAATTTGATTATTTTTTGTGCGAAACAACACCAAAACAATTTTTATAGTTATGTTGCAAAAGAAAGAGATTTGTAGTTACGATTCTCTGCGCTGAACTTCTATATTTTAATAACGTATAATTGTAATTTCGTTTGTTGTTTATTTCTGTATTTATTTTATTTTATAAGTTTTAAGAATCCCAATTTTCGTAATACTATGACTTCATAGGAATACAAGTGTGAGGTTCCGGAATTGTCCGGAACTAAAATAGAAAAACGTAAAATAATTTAATTATTAGAGAAAAAAAGGAATGAACAGAAATTTTTTATAGAAACTTGAGAAATAGTCTAGACCCGTGTTTCTCAACCGCCGGTCCGCAACTCTAATCTGACCAGTCCGCGAAAACTTTAAAAATATATACTTAACCTTCCATGCGTTGTTCTCAAATAGGAAATATGTGGATTATTAATCCGTTTATTGATAGCAAACTAATAGATTGAACGACTTTGAATACGAAAAACTAATCAAATTAAGTTCAGACTTGGGATTTAAAACATTGTTTGAATCAATGCCCATAACACAGTTTTGGATTAAAGTTAAATCTGAATATCCAGTTTTACATAAAAAGGCAGTTAGGATGTTACTACCTTTTTCAACAACGTACTTATGTGAATCAATGTTTTCAGCAATGGTAATGATAAAATTGAAACAACAAAATCATTATAGTATTAGTTCTGCCTCACGCCTTGCAGTTACCGCCTTAACTCCAAGAATTGATGATCTTACTAGCAAAAAAGAAAAGCAGCGATCACATTGATTTGTATACTAATGTACTGGTAAATAAAATAACAAATATTTATTGCTCAATGTAGTTTGCAGTTCTTTTTACAACAGAGAATTTTTTTCAATTAAAAATAATATTGTCACTGGTCCACTTAAAAAAAGCAGATATTTTCCGGTCTGCGATGAGTTTTGGGTTGAGAAACACTGGTCTAGATCATCCTTTCTCAAAGTGGGTGATAACGCCCCTTTGCGGGCACTGGAGGCTTTCATGGGGGCAGTAGAAGGCTCAGTGATTAAATATGAGTTTTATTTCTTCTCATCAAAACATTCTTTGATCTCAGAAATAGGATATGGGTCACACCCTATCTATCCTATCCATATAATAATGCATGTTTAAACATTATATTTGCAATAACTGTTTTTAAGATATGCAACAGATGGTAATGTAAAAAGGTTAAAAAAAAGTTACTCTTTTTGTTGAAAGATTGATTTTAAAATTATGTGTTTCTAAATCAAGAGTTCATTTTAAGCACAGTACAGTACTATTTGTTTATCAAAGAATAATTTTTGTTGATTTTATGTTACCTTGTATTTACTAGATTTACATACAAATAATAATGATAAATGATGATAAAATAAAAAGCTTGTGTTTTGTTTGTAAATTGCTTATTTTTTCATTACATTGAAGTTGTGGATTCTATCAAACATTTTTCTACAGGATGTATGTACTGTATTTTTTTAATGTGGCAGTCTTTGAAGCATATCAACTGTGCAAAAAGAGGGATAGATGTACAGTACTCAATGTTCACAGTAAATGCTGTTTTATTATGTCGATATTCCACACTAAGAAATGTGAGGGTCAGGAAATTTGGACAAAGTTGGTCAGGGAAAGTCAGGGAATTCAAAACAAAAATTTGAGTGGGAACCTTGTTAATAGTTTATGTATATTTATGTATATATAATTATAAATTACAGTAGAGAATCGATTATCCGAATCAATTGAGGACTGGGGTTGTTCGGAAAATTGATTTTTTTGGATAACCGATTATGTACGAAAAAATATATTAACCTATCCCATGTTGAAATTTGTTCAAATCCTGGCACGTCCTTAAGTACCCTCTCTTGGTCGCGCCAGTGCTGCCAGTTAAAACACACACACCAACAAAAATAATATTGGAGTAGCCCAAGACATAGCTAAAGATTGCAGCGCCACAGCACTATCGGAAATTTAAATTTGCCGACTGGAAAGCTTTTGGTTAATTGACATTTCAGTCGATCGATAATCGATGCTCTACTATATTTACTTTAATAGTTTTGCAGTTTATAAAATTACATTCAACTAAATAAATGTTTAAAATTGAATGCAAAGCTTTTACATCTTTAAACATTGATAAAACTTCATTGAAAAATTTCATTATGTAACATAAAATAAAGTCTTTGTTGAAAAATTCATAGAATTATCAAATTATTTATCTAAGCATAGATGATGCCATTATAAGATTATAAAGTAGAAACAGTTTCATTTTCAGTTTAATTGAAATATATGAAGTTAACATGATTGATCCTTTAAAGTGTTTTAAATATTACCATAATTTTGTGCATATATGTGTGTAAGTCAAATCAAAAGCAGATACAATAAATTCTTTAAATTGTGTAAATTCTTATTCAATTTAAAGAATTTTTAAAATGTGTTATATTGATTACTTGATGTGATAAACCCTTATATAAGATAACATTTATAGTTATATAAATCAAATACTATAATATAATATAATAGAAGGGTTAGAAGTACAAAATATATTAATGTTTGTAGTTATTTTTTGCCCAGTTTACCTGCTAGGTAATAATAAAATTTTATAAATAAAACAGAAATGATGTGCACAATAAAAAATTTTGTTGTTTGGCAGTCATTTTGTACTTTAGATACTTAATGCGGTTTAGTTCCTTCTCAAATATTCCATTTTTTCCATTTCATTTATTCATAACTACATCCTACAATTCTAGCAACTGCTAACATAAATAAAACAAAAGAAAAAGAAAAAAGAGACCTAATTTACATATTGCAAAGTGTTTGATGATGCAAAGTGTACAGATTATGTGAAGATTTTATTTCCATTCTTAGCAATTTGTAGTGTGTACACCAGTGCAGGTTATAAGCTTCTGTGGGTTAGCTGAAAATACAGTAATAGTTCATTGATAAATTTTTATAGTCTTTAATTCAAGATGTCTGAAGCAAAATATTTCCATTTTATAAATTTGAAATCATTACTTAAATGTAAAAGTTTGATCATATAAAATACTATGTGAAATCAGATTGTAAGAGAGAGAAAGATGAAAGAGAAGTTAAACAATATAACCTTTCTTAAAATCCATATCCACTTAAATAACTTTAAGTTTGCTAATTATCGTAAGTAAAGATTCAGTGACTTTTGTATACAGTGAAGTAGAACAATGAATTCAATATAAGTTTTAAGTAAAAATTTCTGTATGTAAAATATCATCAGAAAGACACACTTTAGCATATTTGGAGATTTATGGACAAAATCTTTTTTAGACTTTCACATTAACTCGCTCCTCCCATTTGTACAACTTTACATTAATGATAGCATCATCAGTTTGGTTTAGTGTTTGAATATGATAGAAATGATGTCAGCAAAGCAACATATTGTCATATCAAATTATTGATGGAAGTATATATTTGTATATATTTCAAAAAAGCATCCATCCAAAGTTATGAGCATTTTGAAGCCAACCCCGTGTATATATTTGTAAAAATTTTGATATATATAAATACATTTAGACATTGTTTATGACTGCCCATGTTTCCAGTTGATTTGATCAAGCAGTGGTCACAATTTGCAATTTTCAGCCATGCAGGCAACTTCAACCATGATGACTATTTCCATCAACTAGCAAATTTCTGAATACTGCATGAGTGTGACTAAAAACAAAAAGTTTGTTGTTCTCAAATCAATTGCACGTGCATAGAAAACATTTGTCATTGGCATGTTTGTCATTGTGACTATTTAAAATGGTGGAAAATTGGGAGCACCAAGCCATGATTTATAAATTGATCCATTATTATGAATGCCTGTGGAATTTCATTTTAAAAATTAGAATCTCTTTTTTTTTCATTGAAAGAGGTAAACAATGAATCTATGTGGTTCTTTTTTCTAATTGTATGATAATAATCATTATTAAACAGAATTCTGTTTGTCAATTTCTAATTATATTATGCTGCTGTGTCTTGAGTGTGTGACCACTGATTTGCTGCAACTATCATTGCAGCAATTTTCAGCTGTTTAGCCAACTGCAACTTAACTGTTTCAGTTGCAGTTGCCTATATGTCTGAAAATTGAAAAGTAAAACTATCTTTTTACCAATTTTATAACTAATATTGGCAGTGTTGTATCCATTGTCTAAGTCTTTGAGAAGATCATGCTTATTGCTCATTTCAGAATATTTATCTTGGAGTTTTGTTTTAATTGTTATATATGTATATATATATANCCATAGTTGAATTGTGAGTGGATTAATGAAATCCAAACAGAAGATGGTATTATGAGAGGAATAACAGTAAAACTTTATCAATCTCTACATGAGAGTTTTTAACAATAGTGCAGGAATAACATATAGAAAATCAATATCTGCTTAAGTCTTTCCCATTAGAATAGATACATAAATCATTATATTCACAACGGCTACATTAATGTAATGATTTATGTTTTATATATTTCTGTTTCATGTATACTATTTATGTATGGTGGAATCCTGTTTATCAAATGGTACCAGGTCCAATCCAGATGACCGAAAATCTGAAAAATTTATTAACGACATAAATAACACAATTTAGATATACATTATATTTTATTTACTGTACATTATATATACTTTACTTTTACAACAATATTAACAGTATAAAGCAAAAGATATGTCTACATACAGTATTAGTTCATTGTTTTCTATCAGCTGATACAGTAATCATATGTAAATTTTCCGACCATTTGTATGAGGTAGAACTCCTCCTTATGACTTTCATATAATAGCTTTCATACTTTTATCAAAACTCATGTGTAGGTCAGTAAAATTATATCATTGTCTTTTAGATCAGGGGTGGCCAACTTTTGTGTACATAAGATCTACTTTTTATCTTAAAAATGTGTTGCAATTGACTTGTTGTTGTAGGCATAGTCTAAGTGGCAAGGGGGAGGTGTGAAATACATACTATGTTTAGATAGGTAAGAAAAGCCACAATTTAATTTAAGACATGAAGAAAAGGTACATGCATTTTAAACAGAAAAAAATTGAAACTCAACATTGTCACTTTTAGGGACCAACACTTCATCTTTCCTCTCTCTACCATGTCCCAACCTACTCTCTGTTCCTCTTCCTGCCTTTCTTTTTTTGGTTTTACAACCCTTTGTCTACATTTCTTATTCCCCCTTTACAACTATATGCAAATGGATTACACATGGACCAACAAAACCGCATCTGAGGGAGGACACGGAGGTCCGATATCACTACACTTGCATTTGCGCATTGCGTTCGGTTACAAGTGTAACACATTAAGTCAAGACATCACAAGTGATTGACCAAAATTGGTTTCACAATCGACTTGTTGGTCACTCCTGTTTTAGACCATTGCTTTAGTAATCACATTTATATAATAAAATAACTTTAACTTTAATGAGTAATTATTTATTGTGACGTTGTCATAATGCTGGACTGCAAATTTTAATCATATTTTTAATTTATTTAATTTAAAATATATGCTCTCTACATCAAATTGATAGTGGTTTGTCCCTGTACATCATACTTTTCCTTTAACAATAGAGTCTTGCTGGTCATCTATCTAACACCTTTCAGGGGAAAATATTTGAATTGAAATAACATGACTTCTAGTTTGCATGGAAAGTTCTTATATACTTAATCGGGACTTTCTGCCCCTAAGGTTTCCATATCTGGTCTCATCTTTCATCTATCTAACTCCGTTCTCAAGATTAAGGAAAATTGGATGGGTGGATGACAGTGGGAATTTATAGGTCTACAATTTTTTCAAATTGCAGCCCAATTAACATTAATTCAGTTAATATTATTTTGTGAACTTAATTCTTATTCTTATCATCATCTGAAGTTTGTTATTAAACTGTAATGAAAAAAACTCATATTTAATCATTATATTAAGTTTTCAATAAGTAAAAGTAATACTGATAACATCTGAGAGATTTTTTATAAAGCAGATTAATTAAAATTTAATTTTAATATATTGTTTTTTTAAGTTTTATAAACTACAGTTATTTCATTGTAGGTTCTGTGAAGGTTATACTGTACATTATATTTATGGTTATTATGATAAAAATACACACGTTTCCACTATTTGCTATTAGACCTATGTATCTTAGTATGAGGTAAGTACAATATTTATTTCTAGTGATGTATCTAGGAGCTAATTCTCAAATTAGGAAATTAAAATTTTTCATTATTCAATGTGATTTTATTCTAAAAAAATGCACTACAGATTCTATTTTATTACTTAATGTTCCTTTACTACAGTTTTCATCTAATGATATATTTAACTAAATATTAGAATTAACTACAGCATAAAACTTGTTAAGAATGTATTGCTGTTATTTGATGCAACCCCAGTCTGTTTTGGGCATATGCTTATATCTTACTGCACTATTTGACTAACTCGTGTAAGTGATCCATTTGGTTTGATACAATGATTATATGTGGAAATGTTAAAAAGATTTTCTTTATATGAATTATTAAAGAAATAAAATAGAAAACTAAAAATTGTTTTAGACTTTCTTCTCAAAGATCTTTAAATTTCAATAAATGTTTTGAAGGAAGTAAGAAAAGGTCAAAGACCTATAGGATCTTACAATTTAATAGCAAAATATAAATTATATAATTCTGATAACAATGATATGGTTTAATCAAAGTTTACATATAGTTTAAGTTAAAAGATTATATTTTAAAAAAGGTAAAAGTTAAAAACCTTAAAAACTTCTTAAAAAACAACCACAAGAAAATATCCTTCTTTACAGATTTTCAAGGAAACTTAATGAAAAACTATAGACTATAACTTTCTTCTAAAAGGAACAAGCTTTATTTAATATTACCTCCAAATGCATTTTGCCCTGGCTATAACAGGGTCTCTTCAGTGGATATAACATCACAATCCATAGCAATATTTTCTTCACAAACATCATGATTTCAACAACAAACTATCTTGCGTGAAGATATATTTATACCTCTAACTACATTATTCCAGCATGCAAATACACTCGTGCGGTATTTAAATTAATGACATTATTCTGCATAACAATTGCATAATGTTCTTTAATTATTCTTTTTCTGATATTCTTTTCCTTATACACAATTTTTATGTTATTTAATGTCAAATAATTTTATATATATGGAAAAGATAATAAAAACAGAAATAAAACAGTATTTATCTTTTCCATAGAAGAAAGTTATAGTTTTTAATTAAGTCTCCTTGAAAATTGTTAAAGAAGGATATTTTCTTGTGGTTGTTTTTTTAGAAATTTTTAAGGTTTTTTTACCTTTTTTAAAATATAACCTTTTAACTTATAAAATATACCAATTCCATTGTTTAAATTTTTACAAATATTTTTATTTAAATATAGTACTTTAAACAATTATGTGAAATTCAGAGTGAAATTTATTTCATTTATTGCATTATATAAGATACAGAACAATTCTGCAAAATGTTTCAATAACATAACATTCTAATATTCAATATTCAGTGTACAACAATATTTATCATGTAACCAAAATGGAATTAGTTTCATATAATAGACTTAATGCATTAAATTTAATTTTTCAGGGCTTTCAAAAAAGCAGTAAATGATGTAATTTTATCAAGACGTGCTATAAGAAACATGAATACACTGTAAGTTAACCAATAATTAATGAGTAAATTTAGAAAAAATAAACATTTTACTAAAATAATTCATTATAGTTATCCAGATGCTACTCCTGAAGAGCTAGCAACTGTTGACAATGTGTGCATCATTTGTCGTGAAGAGATGACAGGAGGTGGAAGTAGCAAAAAACTACCTTGTAATCACATATTTCATGCTACTTGTTTACGTTCTTGGTTTCAACGACAGCAAACGTGTCCAACTTGTCGTATGGATGTGCTTAGAGTAGCTACACCAACCAGTACAAATGTTCCCAATGCAAATGTGCCACCAGCTCCACAAGAGCAGCCTCAACCACAGCCCCCGCAACCACCACCATTTATGAACTGTAAGTGATAGCAATTAAAACTATTTAATACAAGTAGATTGATCATATAGTAATGATTGATTTGATCATATATTACTGATTTAATCATAACTTGTAAAATCTAATGAATCATTAATATCATATTATAATTCTGTAACTCTGATAAATTTATCTTTTCTGTTATATTTATCTTATATTTTAGTTTTTGCTTTTTTATATAATTATATATTTTAAAGAGGTACAAAATATGGATAGAAAGATGGAAAAATAAATGTAAACAGGAAAACAGAACTGATTTTTAAAATTATATATTTAATACAGGGTTCCTACGCATCCGGAAAGTCAGGGATTTTCATTAGTGTTCGGAAAAAGTCAGGGAAAGTCAGGGAATTTGTCAAAAATTGTCAAAAAGTTAGGGAATTTGTCTCCTTAATTGCATTGTTGATCTTGTTTGCTGAATATGGATGACCAATCATAGCCATCTGCAGGCAGCAAGAAGTAATGCTGCAATCTTTAATAATTAATAAGAAAATACACCAGAATCCATTTTAAAATGGCTTTTTTCACTGTTCTGAAGCCATATAATTTTACAGTTGTGGATTAACAACAGGATAAACTTTTATGTAATAGTGTTTAATTTTTAATTTTAATAATTTGGCGATTATAAAAAGATGAGATTGCTTATTAGAGTAAAAAATAACTAATTAAAAATTTGCAAACTTTTAAAAGTTGAAATCATAATTTATTAGAATGTTCACTTCAAAATAGCTACATAGATCAGTAAAAATATGTAATTTAATCGTTTTTCACATTTAAAACATTACTACACAACATAAAAAATTATAAATAGTTACTTGACATTTACAGTAAAATACTGGCACTGACTTGTTGTTGGCACAAGCTTTTTATATTTGTTGTTATGATTTTCCTTGAAAGTACTGTACTGCAAGCGTATTTTCCCCCCTCTCTTGTTTTTTTCCACAACTTCAATACATAGTTTAATAATTTGTTTAACTGAAATGACATTGGGTAACAAATATCACCGATTTTGGCAAATTTAGGGCTTAAAAACTGGCAAGATTGGTCATACTTGTAATAAATATACTGTAGTTATATTTTCGAAAATCAACAGGTAATCCAATAGTTTAACCAATGTTAACTTGCTTATAATTAAAATTTAAAAATTAAAAAGCTGTAAATTTAAAAAAAAATAATTACATTACTAAAAAATTAAAATAAATTTGATTATTTTTTGTGCGAAACAACACCAAAACAATTTTTATAGTTATGTTGCAAAAGAAAGAGATTTGTAGTTACGATTCTCTGCGCTGAACTTCTATATTTTAATAACGTATAATTGTAATTTCGTTTGTTGTTTATTTCTGTATTTATTTTATTTTATAAGTTTTAAGAATCCCAATTTTCGTAATACTATG